GCCTCCAAGAGGAGCAACTGACTGGTTTAAGAAAGTGCTCAATCTCATACTGGCACAATATCTGGTCATCGGCTTCGCTACTGCTTGTGTTTTTGGATATTTTTTCCCATGCAAGTTATAGTTCCCTCTCGCCGTCAAGACAAGTGCTAACATCCTGTTCAAAGCTGTTGCTCGGCATGGGGGCGTCATCCGTTCAGAGTATAGCATCCTATACGGCGCAGTCGCATTCATTTTTCTCGTTAGTGGGCTGCAACTATCACCAGGGAAACTCCGAGAGAATGTGGCAAATTGGAGATTACACATTCTGGTCCATGGGATTAGTTTTGCCGTTATCCCGGCCATTGTGCTTGGTGTGTTGTGCCTCTGCCGTCGTAAAAGATTATAACCCGAGCTCATAGCTTTCTAGCCATTGTTCATATCTCTATCGCAGCTGGGGCTCTCAGGTCTCAAACACCTTCGCCTCCGATCCTCATCGGCCTTCTTACCACTGCCTGTCTTCCAACCACCATTGCCTCCAATGTCGTAATGACACGAGCTTCAGGCGGAGACGAAGCCGCTGCCATTATCTCTGTTGTCATCGGCAACGTTGCTGGGTCGTTTCTATCTCCTCTGCTCATATACGGATTCTTTCCAACTGGGGATCCTGAAGCATTCGACAGCTGGCGCCCTGCTGATCCGTCCACCCTAGGACACATGTATGCAGATGTAGCCAAGCAGCTCTGTCTTAGTGTGGTCTTGCCCCTCATCGTTGGTCAAGTTGTGCGTTGGAGGTGGGAGGATCGCACCGTAAAAGTTCTCAATGCTCTCAAACTGGCCAAGGTCTCAACACTGTGCCTTGTTCTGCTCGTATGGACGACCTTTTCTGGAGCTTTCGGCACCGGAGCGTTGAAAGACTTATCTACAAGCAACGTCCTCTTTCTCATCTTTATGAACGTTGCGCTATATGCTCTGTTCACAATTATCTGCTTCTTTCTCGCCAGACCACCCGGGCGCCTTGTCAGAACAGTATCTTCATCCTGGCTAAGGCATGTCTTCAAGCGCATGTCTAAAGAGCAGACGGTCGCCGTATGCTTTTGCGGGGCGGCCAAAACAACGAGTCTGGGTATACCGCTAGCAAGTTCAATGTGGGCGCGTGCGGATGATCTAACAAGATCCTATATACAGATACCCGTACTGCTGTACACCATTGAACAAGTGTTCATGGCTCAGGGGCTAGTATACGTCTTTCGCTACTACATGCGGAGAGGAAACAAGGAACGTGGCACCGGGGAAGTAGAGCAGGGTACTGCCCAAGAACAATGTTCTATCGAAGTACAAATGCAGCCTGATGAACTCTCGAGGCGGGCCATTGATGGGGATGTGGAACAGAAAGGGCAGCGATGTCAGTAAGGAATTTCAAATGTGCTGATTTGGTGCAACGTTAGTCAAAACTACAGAACCAGAATTCAGAGTTTACCACGCGACATAAGAGAGGTCGATATCCACCATTGTCTGGCTCTCCCAGATTACAGATCAAGACAATACATAGTATGACCCCGTGTCAAAAATTTAGGTCCAAATAACATTATATATCAAGGTTGCTTTTAACCCGCACATGCCGAGTTGACTCTAATAAGAATACCACAATGCGTAAATATAATAGGTAACCCAACTCTAATGAGAAGATATTCTATACGTGAAGGAAATAAGTCGCACGTTTTCATTCATCTTCGATTTTTCAAATTCAATTGCAATACATTCATCGGAGTATCATATTCGGGAAACCGGAATAATAGCCGTGATCTTCTTCAATTTGATCATTCTCAGGTCTGTCCGGCCTTGACACCATTCCCATTTACAACATGCTCCTCCTGCTTGATGAGACTATCAAATAGGGGCTTTAGATGTTGAGCACTCTTCTTGGGGTAACGCTTTTGGTCATTCTCGTAGTCGACATAAGTTACGCCGAATCGAGTCTCGTAACCCTCAGCCCACTCAAAGTTGTCCAGCAAAGACCAGGCAAAGTAGCCATGGACATCCACGCCATCGAGTCTAGAAGCATCGGCCATGGCTCTCACGTAATCGTCATAGTACTTGACACGGAAATTATCTTGCAGGATCTTCTCTCGCGGCATGTCATTCTCGCCCTTGATGCTGGTGCCGTTCTCGGTAACATAGATTCTGGGGAAGCCATAACGCTTGGAAATCCAGACAAGTAGATCACGGAAGCCTAGGGCACATGGTCGCAACCAAGTAGACTGGGTCTCCTCGCCAATACAATCACCGCGGTGGTTCCAGAAGTGCAGCTCAAGGTTACCAACATAGTCCTCAGGAGCAGCCTCTCCCTCCCGATGCTTGACATAGTTGGCAGTGTAGTGGTTCATGCCGTAGAAGTCATTTGATCCCAAAACAAGAGCCTTTTCCTCAGGGGTAAAGGTGGGAAGGCGGTCACCGAGCTGGGCGCGCATTGAGGCTGGGTAATCTCCGAAGTAGATAGGGTCAGCGAACCACGAGATAGCAAACTCGATCTTGCGTTCGGCAGCCTCAACGTCTCTCGGGTCCTTGGGGTCCCACGGGTATGTGGCGTCGCCGTTGAGGGTGATGCCAATCTCACCGCCATTCTTGGGCTTGAATTCCTCACGATAAATCTTAACGGCACGGCCGTGGGCAACAAGAAGGTTGTGACCAACGATCCAAGGCTCAGTAGAAGAGTCGCCAACATCGGATTTCTTGCGGTCAGAACAGCGACCGGGTGCGTTGGATCCTGTGCTGTAACCCAGAATGGCTGAGCACCAGGGCTCATTGTGAGTGATCCAGTTCTTGCAGCGAGGGATAGACTCGAAAACAACACGAGCATATCGCTCATAGTCAAGAGGAAACTCCTCTCGGTTCAGGAGACCGCCGTAGCGGCGGTCCAACTCATCGGGTACGTCCCAATGGAAAAGAGTAATGAAAGGGGTAATTCCAGCTTCCAGGAGATCATCGACAAACTTGCGATAATGGTCAATTCCGGCCTGGTTGATGGGATCGTTTCGACCACCGAGAGGAATGATCCGAGACCAGCAGAGGGAGAATCGGTATGCCTTAGCGCCTACTGATTTCAGAAGAGCAATATCCTCAGCGGTACGGTTGTAAGAATCACAGGCTGTCACACCAGAACTGCCGTCTGCGATCTTGCCAGGCTTAGCACAGAAGGTATCCCAGTTAGCAGGGCCACGACCATCCTTATCGATAGCACCTTCAATCTGATACCTATCTTGATGGTCAATTACCGTCACTCAGTGGTACTGGGAGTTGGATTACTTACGAGGCGGTGGCGAAGCCCCATTGGAAGTCCTTGGGGAGAGACATTGTGAATCAGGCTGGCTACCAGCCCTTCAAGTTCACGTGAACTGGTCTGGGTCGTAGTTCGAGAGAGCTAGTATCAGGCCACCTGAAACAAAAGAAACAAAAGTTGAAGGCCACAGGTTACTGGTGAGGTGGATGAGGATGATGTTGGATTGGAAGAGAGGAAGGAGAAGGTCATGTTTCCCTAGCATCACAGGACGCTCTTATATACCCCAATCTAGAACATGGGTTGTCGCTTTTCGTTCCACTCATAGCTTAGACTCTCTCCTCTCGTGTCAGCTACAATGCACGGTGAAACTGATGAATACCTTGGGTACTAAGGTAGAAGGGATATGCCTCTTAATGGCCGTGTTTGTACTTCGGACCGTCATATCCGCGGCTGGATCATCTGCCACAAAAGCTGGGGTGGGGTTGACAAAAGCTGTCTTTTCACGACACAAAAAGACACGAACGCCAAGGTAGGGTACCTTCCTCAGTCGAATTGGTGGGTTTATCACAGCAACTGCCAGGGATCCATTGCTCAGGGTCATCCATGCCTGTCTGCGCCTGCAGCTTGCTGATGGATGTCTCCCTCAACCTCCCTGGCACCCTCCACTCTGAAAAGGTAAAAGGCAACCCCAGCCAATGTGGTTGCCCCATGGGGATTGGTTTCAGGACCCTTCCAGATTCTCTTGCTGTTTGCTTCCTCCTTTTAGTTACTCTTCTTTTTTTCCCTCCTCTTCTTCTCCTTTTTCTTCGTCTCATTATAATTTTCCGGAAACTCACAATTGCCCATTTCTCAACAAAGAGGTTTGGTGAAATAACAGATCCCTTGGGCACTTAACTCTTTTTGTCCAACCTTGACCTCCGTTTTCGTCAGACGATTCCCGCTCATATGTGCCTACTCGAGCCTTCGGCCCGCCTCTCCGGCGCCACGACAGCCCGCTATCGCCAGAACTTCGGCATGCTCTGTAATGTTCGCCTCACCGGATGAATCAAATGCAGGAGGAATTGGTTGATTCCCGAGATCTTATGCCCTGCACGTGGTGTCTCGGCCTCGAGATCCAAGGGTCCTTCCACCCATTGGTTTCTATTGTTTAGGCTGCATTGTGTTTCGGATGCTGTGCTGTAACTGTGATCCTCATTGCTTCTCTAGTTTGCATGTGCCTGCCCTGTCGCTGTCGCTCTCTCCCGGTTCCTGTTCCCACTCTGTCAAACGTCCCGGACAGCATTGCCCCGAATTTCCCGGGCTGTCATGGCTGCTAGGCCCGAAACACCAGTCAAATACTAACGGAACGGTCCAGATATCCGGACTTCCCATGCGGCTCATTGACAGATTTCTTCTTTTTGCTATCATCATATATCCATGCATATCTGCTTATCGTTTGATTTCCCTTAACCTGGTAGCTTCTCCTAATTCATCAGCATCCTTGTACATGGATAATGGCTCATGTATTCATTCCCATGATAACGCAGGTTCAGAAAGCACGGCAGTACAATCTTTTCACAAACTATCTAATATGACGACAGAGATTGAGCCAATATGTCATCCAAGTGCCATGTGGTCGTTGAAGTCGCTGCGAATATGCATTTGTCAACGCCTCTGTCGTCAGAATTTTAGCAGGGGGCCGCTCATCATTATCCCATCAGTCGTCAGCTTTCTCGATATTACACAAGGCGCAACTGAGCCTAATTCAGTCAGCAGTCCTTCCTAGTTCCCAACAGCATGCCTCCAAGTCGTCCCTGTCCTGTAGCTTTCGCTTTCCGGGGTTCGACATCTCCATATCGTTATCTTCTTCCGTTGGGGCCTTCGATTCGTCGCCGTTGGAATACTCGACAATCTCCCACTCGACCTTGACTTGGCCATCGTGAGATTGTTTGACACCTTGGCTTCGGCGCATGTTACCTAGGCGCGTTCCTTCGACCATGCCATCGAACCACGGAACTCCATACGACTGGCGCAATGCGGTGTTCCTACCAACCACTGCCGGTGACCGGCCTGCTGGGGCTTTGTCATCTTCCTCTTCTGGAATCAGTCCCATGTCTTCCAGATCTCGCAAGTCCTCCCTCAGCAAGCTTCCGAGAGTCAGGTTGATGAATTCAGCCTCGGTATGCGGGTTTTCGGACCAGTAGGACAGTGGTGTGCCACAGTAGCCGCAGAAGTGACGTTTTGAGTATTGTTGGCTAGGGTGTGTATAAACTCGTCGGATCAAGGCGTGTGTCTCGTCCGGGAAGAAAGAGTAGGTGGTACTATGATACCATGAAAGCGGAACTCGGATATAGGCAGCCAGTGGAGTTGCAAGAGGTATCTCTGCAGGCAGATGTCAGATCATATGCTCGATACTCGCGGTTGTGTCTCTGAAGGACATCTCCGACTTACGATGTGCAGACTCGGTGTTGAAGAGAACCTGTGCCTCATTGATACCATTCTGAGGAACAGCAATTATGTAACGGTTGCGGCCGCATTGGCAGCCGCCACGCAATGGCCTGAGAGTGCTCATGGTTGACAGAGAGATCACCCGTTGACTATGTAAAGTGTGTATCAGTCAAGTCTATCAAGACAGGAAGCACGTAAGTTTATGTTTGGGAGGGGAAAGTTTGGGTGATGAAATCGAAGTGGTTGTAGCGAAGGGATGGAATTTGTTTGGTGATCAGCAGTTCCCGCCCACCTTCTCACCTCACCTCTGAACGCTGCCCAAACACGGGAAGAGCTCCAGGTGGCAGGCAGGACCCAGTAGGTGGGCAGGCAGTGACGACATATTCCAGTGAGTTCCCGCTAAACGTAGAGTTTCCACGGCTCTCTAGCGCTTCGTGGGGGTTTCTAGAATTATACCAGCCCCACTGGAGCTGAATGCCCCTCTTTTTTCGATGAACGTACGAGTTGTTGGCAAGATGGGCGTCGGGCTACCCTATAAACCATGAACAGTAAGTTGAGTATACTTGAGTTTAAAAAAAGGTTTAGAGATAAACTTATTCATGTGCTATTGACTGCATTGTTTTATTCTTATTGAGGTTTTTTTTTCTTGCTGATTTTTCTTGTGTTATTTTACGTAGGTATGTATTTACTGTACTTTATCAGTTGAGGTGACATTTTAATTATCAGGGAATGTTCCAGCATAATGCCAACACCCAAAAAGAGCCATACGCAATCCTTGATTTTGCATGCATGAATGAACAAAGGGACTGTGCTTAAGTTTTAAGATGCGCCCTGTACGCTTTATCTTTCCTTCACAGATCATTAGACAAAAACACAAGGTAGGCTACCTGGGGGATCAAAGCAAACTCAGGACCCATTCTAGGTAATAGAAAGATTTAGGTATTTAAAATCTAGGGAGTTGAAATAAACTTAGCCATTAAGGCCTAATATTTTCTTGCTCCCGAGGACTACCTACCTATTAACTATCTAAGTGATGGAAGAAAACCTAGGGGCTTGGTTCGCTCAACAATCAGATGATTATGCAAATGTAGTGTAGGTAGGTTCAGAAAAAGATCTATAACGTAGTGATTGTTTGTCGGCGCCCTGTTGTATGATGCCTTTCGAGGCAAGGTTTTGACAAAAGAATTTATACATGGCAAGGTCAGGAGAATAGATCTTCGCCTTGTTCTTTTACCTAGGCAGGTACCTATTCATGAAAATGAATTTCCCTGAGGTTTAAAAAAAGAGCTAGTGAGATAGAAGCGAGGTTCACGCCTCATCACTGACTAAGTCTGCCTATTTGTTACATCATGTTTTTCATGTCTTAATGAAAGTGAGAGAAGTGAGGCATCGAGACTCCCGCACACCGCACTATTCGAAATAGTCAGCTTTTACCTACTATGACGCAGCTAAATCACATAGCAACACCTGCCACGACCACCTCATTATTAGCCCAAGACTGCCTCACTCTCCAAAACACGGCAGCCACTATTCCTCTTCTCGGGTTCGGCACCTACAAAATTCGCGGCCAAACATGCACTGCCGCGGTTCTGGCAGCACTTTCAGCGGGCTACAGCCACATTGACTCAGCTGCGTTATATCGCAACGAGGTGTGCGTCTACGAAGCCATCAAACAGTCTGGTGTGCCTCGTGAAGCGATCTTTCTTACTACGAAAGTCGGGAGTCCACGAAGGATGGCAGGCCAGGGTGACGTGTATCAAGATGTTGTCGAAACTGTGGACCGTATCGCTGGAGTAGATGGATACGTAGACTTACTATTGATGCACGTTCCTGGACTATCCAGAGATTACCGTCAGAGATTATGGGCAGCGATGGAAATGGTTAAGAACAAGGGAAGAGCCAAAAGTATTGGTGTTAGCAACTTTCGAGTCCGGCACCTCGAAGAACTGAAGGACTATGCCACTGAGTGGCCTCCAAGTGCGAACCAAATCGAGGTGAGCTAGAGTCTCCGCTGTAGTGTTGAGGCAAATCTAACGTTACGGTGCCTGTGATATCAGCTACACCCTTGGTGCCAGCAACGAGATGTCGTGACCTACTGTCAGGATAACGGTATTGTTATCGAGGCATACAGCCCGCTTGCAACAGGCACTCGGCTTAATGACCCAGAAGTACAAAGAGTAGCATCAAAGCATGACAAGACTCCAGCAAATATCCTTATCCGGTATTCACTCCAGAAAGGCTGGATACCTCTACCCAAGAGTGCAAATCCGGGTCGCATTCAAGAGAATATTATGGTTTTTGATTTTGCTCTCGATCCAGATGATATGATGGCCTTGGATGCGCTGGACGAAGGACACGCAGGTGCTATTTTTCGAATGAATGTTGATTAACCGCATGCCACGTCACGAAATAATGATTTGGAAGCAAACCTTGTCCGCCAACCTCTTAACACTCGAATGGCTATACGATGATGTTGAATGCATTATGTGATATATACAAGATTGCTACAGAAATTGGCTTAAGTCACTCGAATGACTTCTATGCCGCTGTTTTCCCTAAAAGCCCCAAGTGACTCTCCTATTCCCTTCCATGCTTGGCCCACTCCCTCAGCACGTTCTTCTTGATTTTACCTGTGCTGGTCTTGGGGAGTTCATCTACAACTTCGACTTCTCTAGGAACCATGAATTTGCTAATATCACTCTGATGCTTTGCCCACGAGATGACCTCTTCTCCTTTTACACTCTTGCCATCCTTGACTGTGATGTACACCTTGGGTCGTTCACCCCAGTGTGAATCCGGGACAGCTACAGCGCCAGCTTCGAGGATGTCCGGGTGCTGGGCGAGCATGCTTTCGAGGGCAACAGATGATATGTTCTCACCCCCCGAAATGATGATGTCCTTCGCACGATCCTGAATCTGAGCGCTACCATCAGGATGCCAGACTGCTAGATCTCCAGAGTGAAGCACGCCTCCAGCAAAGAGCTGCCGTGTAGCTTCAGGGTCCTTGTAATATCCTTTGGCGCAAATGTTTCCTGTGAAAACAATCTCACCAACCTCTTTACCGTCCCTGGCGACGTCAATAAGCACGCCCTGTGGCTGGTCTGGCTTGATAACCCGGATTGGTTGGCTTGTGATGAAGCCATGGCCTTGCCGGGACATCTTAGCAAATTTGTCTTGAGGAGGCAGATTATCCCATTCGGGAAGGATATAGCATTTCGTGATGGGCCCATATGTTTCTATAAAAACGAACGTTAGCAATTGCCTGTGTCGGTAATCATTCTTGCGCACCTGTCATCCCATAAACATGAACGGGCATGAGATTAAGCTTGGTCTATATATCATGGTTAGTTCTGAATGATTGTGAGGCCTGAACATATAGGAAAACATACCATTTGCTCAAACAGGTATCCAGTGGGTGGACTAGCGGCCACGGTAACCTTGACTTCTTGCGGTAGCCTTTCAGCTTCCTTGGCCGCTACTAGCAGTGTGTTGACTGTGGGAGCGGCATTGAAGTGAGTGATGCCCTCTTCTTTTAGCAGTTTCCAAATAAGAGGGTAGTCAATCTTCCTTAAGCAAACATTGGTGCCGCGAACAGCGACAACTGACCAAGGAAATGTCCATCCAATTGCGTGAAACCTGTATATGGTCAGCCAGTCATGATTAAAATGTGGGCAAATTGTCTTGACTTACATTGGAAGCGTCCATAGGTACTTGCATCGTCCAAAGTTGAGGCCCGATTCAATAATATTGGCCAAGGCAGCGAGATAGGCACCTCGATGTGTGTATACAACGCCCTTGGGACGTGATGTGGTTCCAGAGGTAAAAGGGATGGCAAGCATATCATCCTCACTTCGTGCCTGGGCATGAAGTCCGGCCCAGCCATGGCTACCTTGGTCGATGTCATGCTTCAATCCCTCCAAGACGGCTTCATCAAAAGGGCCGGATAGTTGCCCTTCAGTTGCGTCAGTATCCTGACGGGCAAGGTTAGCAACAACTTCAAGACAAGAATGCACATGTGCGCGAGGGGGTAAATCAACCATATCAACGATCAAGGGCACACTCTGGTGTTTCTCCTTATAGGCATCGAGCAAGCCAACAAACTCATTATCAACAATAATGCAGTCCACTTCCGCAAAGTCAAAGATATAGGCGATGTCATCCTGCTTCAGGCGATAATTCGTCGGCACAATGACAGCACCCGCCGCAACAATGCCGTAAATAGACTCCAGAAAAGCTGGCGTATTGGGCGCGAGTATGCCTACGCGTCGATAGCCATGCTTCAGGAAGTAGTAAGCAAGACCTCGGGCGCGATCAGCAAACTCAGCGTAGGAGCGCCGTAACACAGCACCATTCGCTGTAATATGGAAGATGGCTTCCGCATCTGGTTCAATGGAAGCAGCACGCTCAAGAAATGTTGTTGGTGATAGAGTGTGGAAGTTGACAGGCGCCGTGGGATGAGGGCGGAGATGGTTGAGAATAGAGCGGATGCGAGATGGAGGATCTGACATTGTGAAGGTCGCGGATAAGGGTAGTGCTTAAAGACTTTAGAGCAATGATGGATACTAACTAATGGTCAGGTACTGGATGAGACCCGAGATATGAGGATCATAGGTCCTTTCATAGCTGTATCTCGGTGGGTGTCTCGGTTCAGCCCGGCAAACGCGGTACCAGCTCGGTTTCTCATATCCCAATTGCCCGGGCCATTCAATAGCGACGGATATTTGATTACTCGAAGCAGCTTAGTTCCCAATGAGCCAATGAATGAGTTACAGTTCCAGGCTGATCTTTCTAGTGTCTCTGTAAAGGCGGGGACCCCGCAAAATTAGGTGCGGTCGGAAGTAGACCAGTAGCCAAGCTACCAGGCAAGCCAGGGAAGCAGGAGATCGATCCACTGTTCAGGGTAGGTAGGGGACCGTCTTCCAACTGAACTACAATGTCTATCTATAAACGATCGAAATAAGTATATTCAGCGCATTGGGCTGACATGTGCGAATGGTTACCCGGGAATTGTTGGAGTAAAAGACTCATAATATTCCAAGTGCTGCCATTGTTATATGTGAGTCGGAAAATAGGGAGGGCGACATGAAGACAATTTGAAAAAGGTGCAAGGAACTGGAGCTTAGCGAGAATGTTAACTTCGAAAATGTCCTTCCATATGGATACTGTGCTGTGTATGTCTGAAGTTAGGCGGTAAAGACGGAATGCAGTGATATACAACTTCATATGTATGTACAGTAGGAGAGCCAGACCTTTACAAAGGGGTCAAAATAAACTCAGCAAAAGATATCCGAAACCTGGTAAATATATCCTAAATTTATATAAGTTACCTAAGCCTTTTTGTCATTTAGGATCAAGGTCCCGAGTTTTCTTTCCTCCCCTAGCCCAGTCAAACTTTGTGGGGTAACTAATCATAGTTCATCATGGTGGGGAATTGGCCTTATGTAAGTGGGTTACCATATACATACGCTTTAAGGACAAGGAAACGCGTAGACCTGACGAGAAAGGAAACCATTCATTGACAATGAAACAATACAAGCTGGGAGTCCATAGAAGGTAGAGCATGAGATGCTGCAGTGCAGCACTGATTTACACCAGTATATGTGTGCCAAAAGCGATCAACAAAAGACCTCATATCGGAACATTGGCGTATATTGAAACAACATGAGAATGGCATCAACAGGGAGTCTCCTATATCAAGAGTGGAATTAGGTGGAAGTGATTTAGATACCTATAGTAAGTAGGTAGTCTGATGGACTGCCTCAGTCAAGTGAACGCGGTACATGTGGCGGAAGTGGCTGACATTGTGGCTGCGTAGTTAGTTTCTTGAGTTCTCCACTCCTCCTGCATGTCAATGCCCAGAACGGGGGGTCATCTTCATATGATTTGCTTATCATTTCTTTAATCACCGTCATTATATTGCGTGTAATAGAAGCCCTCCATCATCATCCCTTTCATTGTATAGATATCTACTTGACATTCGTTTCTGCCACACCGGCATTGCCTCTTTATTCCCCCCCGTTAGTACCTATTTAATGCAAGTGGCAGCACGGATAGAAGGAGCAATTGTCCTGTACTCTGTTACGTCTCGGTCTCAGCCAGCATCGGCTCTTTGAGACACGCTGTCTGTTGCATCGACATCATTTGTTCATGCGAACCTCTCACTCGAGCTATTGACATCCGCGGTATGTACTACGAGGCTCTAGGCAACGAGTTTGAACCCTCTTCCCGTATTTGTTTTCCCATACACTCCATAATATCCCCAGAACATTGTGGAAGCTCATGATGATCGTCTATAGCTCGAGCCAACGACTAATGGCGTCTCGCGACGCCTCCGAGGGCCTTTCGGCTCGTCCCTCTACCACACGCACCGTTTCTCACTCGCATACTCCTAAAACAGCTGCTCTTAGCAGCGACGATCGATTAAAAGTCCCCAAACGAGCCCATACTTTTGCAAACACTACTTCGGCGAAAGAAGGCACGGCATCTCCCGATGCCTTCGACACTGCTGAGCATAGCGATTCAGACGATGGCATTGAAACCACTCGGGCTTCCATTGAGCTAGACATCCTTCCCATCGAACTTATAACCTTGACGGATAGGTATGCGCACCGTGAAATGCTAGATCCTGACTGCACCATGCTAAGCTATGTATGAATAGCTTCATCGAGTCTCTGAATGCAAAGGTCCATCCGACTCCTCCTAATATTGAGAGATTATCGCAGAAGTTCCAAGAGTTTTATACGCAAGCCTCTGCTAACATCAACACCCATATCAACGCCCTTGCCTCAAGACAAAGCCGCGACGTCTCTCCCGCACCATCCGCCTCTTCAATATCCTCTGCCGCCAGTCGACTTCGATCAAAGGCCAGTGCGCTTACCAGGACTGAATCAGAGCAACAAATGATCACATCAGAAGAGCTAGCAAGCCGTAAAAGAACAAGGAAGGCTCTTGAAGCCAAGAGGTCTCTGCTCGAAGAGGCTGTCGAGCGTAGACTGTGTGAAGGGATCTACGACAAGATTTACAGACACCGAAGCACGCAGGATGAGGCCCAAGATGACAAACTACGCTCCAAGACTGCCGCTTTGGCCTTGGTCGGTATTGGGCCTGCTGACCTAGGCATTGACCTCACCGGCGAGACAGATGAATTGGAGGAAAAAGCTGGCCCAACAGTGGAAGATATTAAAGAGAAGCTGGAGCCCGCCAGACGAGATATTGCCTTGATGACACAGAAGCGATATCCACTGGGTAAGCTGAATCATCTCAAAGCTGCCCATCGAAGCATCGTCGACACCCTTGCTCATTTTCATCCCTCGGCATCTGCTGATGAGATTATGCCTATGCTTATCTACACTCTTATAACTCTGCCGCCAGAGAACCTACATGCCATTAGCGACGTTCACTTTGTACAGTATTTTCGATGGGAGCCAAAGCTTACAGGCGAGGCTGCTTACTGTTTGACAAACCTTGAGGCTGCCATCAGCTTTTTGCAGACAGTGGATCTTGCAACACTCAGGGCGGACGAACAGCTTTCCGGTCCAGCAAAGAGCACAAGCCCAAGGACCGAAACTTTTCCTCCCGCTTACCAGCAAGGAGAAGCGCCCTCATCAGCAAACGTGCCTGAAACAAGCAAGACTAAGGGCGAGGGGGCAAAAGTTTCAGCCCCTGATGTCAAAGCATCTGTGGCGTTGCGTAACCGTCGTCTGAGCGACCTTGTAAACGGGCCTGCGCAGGCCTTCGGGGCTGCCAGCGACGCGGTCTTTAACACGGCCGACCAGAGCTTGAAAAATATATCGAACAGCTTGGGAGATAGTTACAAATTCCTCGTAGGGAAGTTAAGGGAACATCAGGATAGCCCTCGAGAGTCTATCACAGTACCCAGGACTCTAGATGATGCCCGGAAACTTGTCAGCACGCCCTCCCCCGATGAGGAGGACAGTAGCGGGCTCAACAGACTCCTTGCACCCGATGACAATGATCTCTTGAAGCGCCCAGCCTCTCGCGAAGAACGAGTTCTGAATCTGATAGGAGGCCGCCGCGACCGCAGTGCTGATAGTGCTCGAAGTGGTCGCAGTGCAAGCTCTTCAAAGAAAGTATTGTTCGCTTCTGACGAACCCAAGGCACCCAGCCAGATTCCGGGGCAGAACCCTGCCGTTCTGGACCAGATGCGCAACTTGGGCAATTCCTTTAATCCTATGGCTCGACTTCCCAGTATCAGTATGATCCGTGGATTTGGGCGCAACGCCCCATCGGCCCCTGCGACCCCAGCTGCTAGGGAGCCGTTGAAGCCCGCAGACGGTGGAGATTTAGGAACAGTATGTTGAAGGCACGAACGTCAGACTGCCAGTAACTAAGGCTAACATACACCCAGGCATTCCCCGATATCGTCCCAGCTCTTCCACCTAAAGAGATTCCTAGAATTGCTCCGCCCAACAAACGCTTCATGGAGATACAGACTCCTGGGGAGCTTAAGCTGGGTGAAGTTCTTGACTTACTACGAGATTACCGTCGTTTGGCTGGCGCATTGAAGGATATTGGTGCTTTTGAGACCAAGTGAGAAGGGCCATCATACAATACAGACCTATACATAGATTCTCTAGACTTAATTAAACCTGGATGAAGTAATTGCATAGGAGTAGTGCATATTCTATATGAAAAGCAAAACTGTAGTTATTGTTGTACTTGATGCAGAGAACGATTAAATGACAATGGTTTGCACCTAAGGTGGGATCGCCTTCTATTGGGCACTGATACTCTAACAAAGGCCATGACGATATGCAAGTCCCTGGACAAGATGAAACGCCAGTGTGGTCTGGAACTTGCTATGCTACATAAAAGACCATGAATATGAAAACACCTTGGTCCAGCCTCTAGAACCATCATAAATTTGTGACATTCGTTCGGCTTGACATGAAAAAAGTAAAAAAAGAGAAAGAAAAAAAAAAAGCTTGCGCTATGACAATCGCCTTCCAAAAGCTCTATGTTCTTAAAACCCTGATGCTGAACGCCGTGAACCCTTTTGACATTTGAAATCGCTTTTTGTCCGGAAAATATGCAGTTTGTGAAAATGAGGCATGAACAGAATACCCCTCTGAGAAGGACAATTAAGTCATTTAACAAAGTACAATGCCGTATCTGTCGCATGATCTGTAAAAGCAAGGCTTTGATTGTTGCCCGTCGTTTATGGCATCGGGTTGGTTTCAGCACGACGAGGACCACCACTATGAGACTCAATGGCTCGAAGAGGAGGAACATCGTCCTTCTCCTCTTCGAACACTGGCTCAGTATTGAATCGCGGGAAGTCCCGCAGGTTGTTAGAGTTGTTTGATGTTGCGCGCTTGTGGCCGTGTATCTCGTTGCTGGGGATTACGGGACCAGGATATAGAAATTGGGAGATGATGCGACTATTTGCTCGCTCACGTATACGGCCCATACTGCCACGTCGACCAGGTAAACCTGGACTAGTAGGCGGCTCCATGCCTGAGGTGGTTGCCATTGAGGCATTTGTCCTGGTGCGAACAAGAATTGGTTGGTTCTCCTCTGCTTCCTTCTGGAAACGTGCCTCACTGGGCAACAGAACGGCACGATCCAAACCATAAGGTAAGCCGCGGTGACGGCCACGGATTTGCATGGCAACGATGATAAGTTTCCCAACGACAGTGAACTGAGAGCACAGAGAAGCATTGACGTTGGGTACACCCATACTCAAACCCACAGTTCCGTACGCACTGATAACTTCGAAAAGAACATCAAATAAATTGAAGTCTTTTGCCTTGAGACTTTCACCTTCACTGATTGCGAGAAAGAAGAATCCCACAAAAACGTACCACAAGTCGAAAGAAAGTTGACGTCGCAGATGGGTACCAACGTAGTTTAGAGCGCTGGCCGATTCCTCTTCATCTTCGTCTTTCTTGTTGTGGTAAACTCCGAGAGACTTTTCTTCGTAGACGTTCGTTCGGCGGATGGAGATTGCGATTGGGAAGATTGAAATGTACATCATGATCATGTACAATACTGGGATGGCAGGGTGAAGGTCGCTAAGGCTGAAACATGAGAATCCTGCAGTTCTTGTAGAGGCAGCTTGAAATAGACCATCGGCAATACGAGTATGAACAGGTAGTTCAGCGACTGGGCCTGAGTTAAGCTGGCGAAGGTTAGCATGCCATAAAGAAGAGGGGCCGACGAGCTGCATACATCTAAGACCACAAAGAAAAGCAAGTCTATGGCATTCAATGCGGCAAGAATCCAAAATAGCCACCAATTAGCGCTCGAGGGGAATAGGAGAGTGAAACACCGGCGAGGATGGTCAAGAAGAAATCTAAGTTCTTCCCACAGGCCGGTCCCCTTAGGAACAATCTGAGCAAGAACCCAAATGACAAAACGGAGCATGACAGGAAAACCCGTGTTTCCAATGATAATGAAGAACCACATAATCATCATCACATACTCCGATGTATTGAAAGAGTTCATACTGTCAGGGGTTAGGGTCAGACCCAAGTCGTTGAAGGCCGAGTTGGCTGTCCAAAATCCCCACCAGGTTCTTGAGATAGCGTTCCCTTCAACAATTCTCCCATATTTCTCATTATGAAGAATGAAAGGCAAAAGGAAGGTTACAGCAATGAGCTGGAACCCCCAAAAATAGGATAGTAAAATCAGTGCCAAAGTCCTCAGGGATCGATATTCGATACCGCCAAGTTCCTCTCGCTGTTCCAGGGTCAAGCCCACAAAGTTAGAGTTTCGACCCATAGTCGGGGTGTAACTGAGGTACGGCATATCCTTCGTGTGGTCGTTTGACAAGGCCGACTTGATAGTATCGATTGTGCGTGTTCGGAAAGCACGGCCCATGGTGCTCTCGCTATCCTCGTGCACCTCCTTCTGACCACGGTTGAACACACGAGGCTTGCGCACTCTAAGGGCATTAAGAGTGCCACCAACGGCTTTGGCATCATCAGTCAATTCGTGTTTGAGGGGACGTTTCGGCTCAGCAATAACGATGGTTGGTCTGCGGCCTGTTGGTGCCCTGGGGTCTAGTGTTGCGTGGTCTGACCTCGATTCCACAGTTCTCGTCATGGCAATGGTATTGTTATCATCATCACCGTCCTGAGTATCATCATTGTCAAGCCTTCGAGGTCCCATCCCCCGCTCGGTTTCTCGGGGACCAGGAATCCTTAGAATTTCGTTGTCCTGGTTTCTTTGACGCTCTAGGATAGCGATATGCTCCGCATGGCTTCTTCTTTGAGGAAATTTGGTTAAGTCGTCGTCGACTCCGTCACTTCTCTTGACCGTTTCAGCAAATTTAATACCTGTCGGCGCATTCTGTGACCTGCTGTGCCCCTCATTCGCTTCCCTGCCATATCCAAAGCCTTGGTCAGGTTTCTCCAAGGGACTTAGTTCTATGCTGTTAGAACGGCAGGCTGAGACCGTGTCGCTTTCATCGCTGCTCGCAGGTGGTGGTTTATGTGGTAGATTTTCATCGTCGTCATCGTCGGCGATTGCCTGGGATTGAATAACGTCATTTCCATCAAGCAGTATCCCATCGTTCGTGATACGTGGAGGTCTCCCCTGGTAAGGCACAACCGTAATATGCCGACCATTGACCCCTTCTTCAGCTTCGCGGGCTTCACTTCGTGGACGAGTCTTGGCCTTAGAAAGTGTAGCACGGCGCTGTCTGGCGTCCGTCACCCACCCTTGAAACCTCTTCTCAAACCAGTAAAGACGTAGGAAGACCACTGAAGTATGTAGTGTGATTGGGTTAGACGTTATAGTAAAGAAGTAAACGACAATCTGTTGAAAGGTGTTGAGAAGGTTGACGTCGATTGGGTTTAATCCAGCTTGTGTATTGGCTCCGCTGGCGAACATAAGAGAATCGACATATGACGTTTGACCGCGACCAGCACCATATATAATGACGGAAGCTAACAAGGTTGCGCCAATGATCCATGTATCTAGGGGAAATGGTCAGACAGAGACTTGGCATTTGAAATGTGATGTCTGATGGAAAGCAAAGTGACAGCGCGTGGGGGTTGCGCTCAAGAAGGAAGCATGGGGGGGTATCGAAGACCAATGGATGTGACTTACAATGAACGGAAATAAAGTTGAAGTGTGGTTTTTTGGACACAAACGGCGGCTTGACAGCTTTGAGTCGCGCCCATATAGAAGCGCGCGTCTCATCCAGCATGTCTTCCAAGGAAAACAGAAGTCCGTTGGCAACTTTTGTGATGTTAAGGAAGTTGAGAAGGCAGAAACCTAGAAACAGGGAGAGAGGGCTTCCTGCGCTATTTGGGTTAAAGTTAGTCGCTGAGCTTAGGGACTAGACTGTGCCATGGCTAAAGACAATTATAGTTATGGCGTAAGAAGGCGGAGACTGGAGACTGAACAACGGAGGGGCGCGGGAACTGAACTGGCGATTTCCTACACACCACTCCCACTCAACACAGAAAGAGCAAGGTTTTCTTGCAATGCGTCGAGTATAAGAAATAGGAATGGTCCGGCGACTTGGTGCGGAGTGAGTCTCTGGGGCACTACCAGTGGCTAGGTAGGTGATTTCGATGCCCAGAAAACAGGGTGTGGCTTGGGCTAGACTTTGGTTAGAAACAACCTGGACTAGCTAACCATTCTCGGAATTGAGACCCGAATTGTTGAAGTTGTAGAGAAAGAAGCATAGTGGTTTGATCGAGTCCTTTCAATAGATGGTGGGGATGAAGTTGGAAAAGGCAGACATCAAATTACTTTGGCAGACGAAGAACTTTTCAACAAAGCAGGTAGGCAAGGTACCTAGAGGTAGGCACCTTATGGATACACCGAAGCGTACTGGCACTATAAGGTAGGCGCTAGGGTGTCAGGAAAATTTCTAGAGATAAGGAAGGAGGCAGGGCAATAAAAAGAACCATGAAAGTAGCCCTGGCAGCGGAAATGGAAGAAAGATAGTGGGAAAAGCCCCTGACATTACCAACGCGCTACCTGAGATTCAAGGAAACGGACGCCAAAGATAATCCATATTTTTATCAATGCACTGTACTACAGCAACGATAGCAGCAACCGAGGAAAACAAAGATAGACGGCGGCGACTCGGAGTTCGCGATCCAACCACGAGGGGCCTGTTGATGATTTCAAGGGGCCCAGATATCCATGTCGTGATTGATCAGCCACAGCCATGCATGCATACATGCTCGCTCCCGACACTTGGCTCTACCATTACACACGGAAGAAGAATGGAAACGAGAAACATCAATGCTACTGTACTCCGTACAGCCAGACTACATGGCAGGGGGGTTTCACGAGACAGCCGACTCAACAAACTTGGATCATGGATGTGAGGTGAGCCAAGCCATGGACCGATATACCGGGTCCATAAACGATCCAGGCACAGTAGAGCATACACGCGGCATTGGCAGGGCTTGGGCCAGGACAGGGTTTGTTGGAAGCCCAGATGCTTGCAGATGGGGACACGGCGACGACGAGAGTACTGCAGACAGACTGATTATGCCACCGCGGGACGTGTTCCCCGGCACCGGTAGGCGTTCTCCCGTCTGGTCTTTACATTAGTGGCTCCATTATGAAGCTGACTTTATTGTCTCCAGTCATTGGTACTAGCCCGTCGGTTTATGGACAGAGGAGTGGGAAGGGTGGCAAAACCCGTTAAAACGCCCGTTGATCCCGCGACGGTTGGGCACCTTGTTCCTCCAACATCTCATATGATCAAGTAAAGCACCATTGATGAGGTTGCTAGACAACACTCCGTACTGTAATGCATCGTAAGTACTAAATTCTTTCCCCATGGCTATTAACGATCATCGTGCTCACACCACCACACGCATCACCCGATTAGGTATCCTTGTAACAAGGCCAACAACGTCACCGCGATTTGGGGCCGGCGAAGCATTGAAACTGGCGCAATCTAGGTAACTTGGGACCTCATTTCTAGTGGCAGGAATACTAATGACAGCTCAACGCAAACTGAGCAATTCACGGATTGGACCAGATAGATTCGTGCGTTGATTGAACATCTCAAATTTCTTTGTACCCAGACGAATTCTTTCAAGTTCCCTGCGGGCGTCAGCTTCTCCCGCGGGTGATAAAAGCCTGTCCTTGTCTGCTGTCTGTGTGTTGCACTGTTCTCGGGCCAATGGCACGTCGCCCTACTGGTAAGCAATCTCCAATTCCATGGATGCCAAGAAAATTCGGAGATCTGAGATACGGTTCTACATGTACATGGTGAAACCACTGACACGTGCTTTGCCCGAGTCAAACAAAGGGACAAGTGGAAGAAAGGGGTTTGGACTCGGCAATTGGGAATACAGTCAATCAAAACCAGTATAGGTACAGTAGGCCTGTGTCTGTAGTTAGGGGCATTGCCCATACTGCAATTGAGCCACAAGTATTATCCTTGGCTCGCTGACTGGTACCCAGGCCCTGCCTCAGATATCGGGGACGTTTCTCATGAGTGTTGGCAAAAAGGTGTGGCGAGCTATCGATTGTGATCCATTGGCTACCACCAAAGCCGAGGAAATGCATAGTCTCCTCCCACCTGTTGATTACTACAACTATGCTGTTGTCACCATATTCCGATACGATTAAATACCGCTCCGCCCTTCCGACACTACACTGGGATAAACTCCTCCAACAATGTGATGTCACCGCTCTTTGATCGCATGTCCACAGACCACTGCCCGATACCGTGTTCATTGTTGAGACAAAAGCCCCTGCATGCGTACACGAGTGTGCTGCGCAGTAATCAATGGGGTTTGCGGGAGAACGAAACCTTTGACTTAACCTAACTTCCAGGAGGATGGGCACTACGCACGAACAGGTCAATGCCTAATATCATGCAGCCTCTTTTCAAACGGGTCACGCAAATGAGATATGAGCAAGTTGCAAATCTAGACTGCACCGTGCCACACCCACTTTCGCCGTCAAATCAGGACAGTACTGATTAGAAAACACCACAACACCAAAATACATGACAGAGTGTAGTTAGAATAAGCATCGTCAATTCTTTGTGTGAGGTTGCAACCAGCAATAAACATCCAAGCCCTAGTACTGCCAAGCTTTTCTCCCCAGAAACTAAAGCAGTACTAGTTTAAAGAATCCCTACCTGGAACTCGTAGCTCTGACTCTAAAAAAAATAATACTTGCTACTGCAGGTATCTGCTAATGATGGCCATTGGTGAGGTCGTATGGAGCCTTCGACTCACTCGTAAACCATATTTCATATGGCATCATATTTGAAAGCCGTGTCACACAACTAAAACGTGGTGTGGTGTATGTCACCCTGTGATGCCTAATCCGTTTACGTGATCTGTATAGGCTGGATTCTGCCTGTTAGCTAAGTAGTCTTCCTATCTTGCCATACATTCCCATGTCACCTGGATCTTTTACCTCATGCACTGCCGTTGCCTTAAGCTACGTGGAGTCAGTCAATTCACTCCAATGAGTCATCGCTTGCCTACTGCCAGAAATCTGATTGAACACCTGGTGTGTGCGATGTGATCAGCTATGGCCGTGTTGTAGTTCTTCCTGAACACCGAATCTTTCCCGTCCTTGCGCATTATTATGCGTTCTACAGATGCGTGATCTGCGGCTGTGTATTCTCATACGACATTTTGTATTTACCCGTGATTCCAATCCCCTGGCTTATCATTCTTTGGCTCATTCAATGTACCTCCACCCCCATTGTGCCGATTCCTACTGTCTTTCAATTACTGTGCTGCTGCTCGCCTGGCGTTCTCGCGTCCAATCTTCTTGAAGAAGGCATTGCTGTCCGCCTTCTTCCGCTTTGCTGATAACTTCTTATTCTGCTCGATATATGCCATGTCCTGGCCACCACTGAGCTCGCCGAGAGTTCCCGCTGTTCGTCGAGCTCCCTTCTTTTTCTTGCGTCCCATAGTACCCTGATGGAACATGTCGTCGTTCGGGTCATCCTCCTCCATGCTCTCATTCTCCACAAGAACCTTCTGTAACAGTTCACGCCGCTCCGACACATCTGCGAATGCTAGTCCGGGTGTCTTCTCGATGTTTGCTAATTGTGTAATGACCTTGAAAGCATATCCCTGATCGACGAGGAAAGCTTGACGTTTGGAAGAAAAATACATTTCTTGCGTGTCTTTTGACACCAGAGAGTAGAAAAAGGCATTGAAGCCCTCGTCATTACGCCTTTTGGCCCTAAGAATTCGTCCTAAACGCTGCGCTTCCTGGCGACGTGAGCCATAGTGGGATGAAATTTGGATAAGGCAGGTAGCCTCGGGCAAATCGAGGGACGTGTCTCCAATCTTCGATAAAAAGAGCGTGTTGACGTTCGGATTGTGCTGAAAGTTCTCCAACACTTGCAGACGTTCTGCTTGACCAGTGCCACCATAGATGAACGCTTTTTGAAGCTTTAGCGCATATGCTTTGAGCGCATACACGTTATCCGAAAATACTATAATCTTGTCTCCTCTTGATTCGTGGTAATTAATGAGATATTGACAAGCCTGAAACTTCCGAGGGTTCATGATATAAAGTAAACCCTTCTTCCGGCTTGGTGCTTTGAGATACTGGTCGTAGAACTCTGTGGGCATTGGGCACCATACTTCTGCACACTGAACTCTAGCAATGTGTCCTTGCTTTGAAAGCTCCATCCAATTAGCTTCAAATAGCTTTGGTCCGATAAGAAAATTTAGATCAGAGATCTTGTCATCTTCTCTAAGAAGTGTGGCTGTGAGACCAAGCTTTGAATGAGTCTTGATCGAAGACGTGACTTTACGGAAGATGTTGGCGGGCACAACGTGCACCTCGTCCAGCAGCATCAGGCCCCATTCTCGACCTGTCAAGAACTTCATCATCTTCTCCGCATCGTAAGATCGGGCCCGCGATTGTGTGACCATTGCATAGGTCGTGACGATGATCCCAGTGCTTCCGGTGAAGACATTGTTCTTGGAATCGGATGTGAAGGCAACAATATCATCAGGATTGATGTTGGACCATTTCAAAAATTCATTCCTCCATTGCACAACGGACATTGAACTCGTGCATAGGACAATGACACCCTTCTTGATAGTGCACGCTGCTGTGATACCCACAAGTGTCTTTCCAGCACCACAGGGCAGGACGATTAGTCCACTCTTGGCTCGGCCGTTGCCAAACATCTTGCTCAAGCTTTTTTCCTGATAAGGCCGAATCTGAGTACCAGGCTTCAGATCGATATCCAAATTTGCGTTGGCTTCATCCCTCCGAAAGTCATACTCCTCCAGAACTGGGTATCCCAGATTCAGGCATTCTTTCTGTACCGTTTCGACATCCTTGTCTGCAATTTCAAAGGAATGCGTCACTTCCTGGTCCTCATCGTCCTCCTCGTTGAGCGTGGCATAGACTTCGCCCTCCTGAACGGGTTGTCCATCTTTGCCCTGTTCGCCTGCTTGGCTGAGGCCATTAGCCTGCTTCACTCCGGCGGCATTCTGTGTTCCGGGAATGACAAGGCCGCCAATCTTAGGCGCAACTGATGTTGTGATCTCTTCCGTTCCTTGGACGCGTAGGGGACCAATTTTTGGGTTCTTGAGGAGAGTTTGGAGCATGTTTGGATCAGGACTTTCGACGTAGTACTTTGTGTTCTTGAGAACCAGCTTCACCTTGCCATAACTCTGAGTGCAACTTGTAATGAAATTTCGAATCTCATCCGGCAGAGGTGTCTTAAGAAATCGATCTAGTGTATTGATGATGTCCTCTGGCGACAAGCCGACAGAGACGGCAGCGTACAGGCTGTGTGTTGTAAGGGCGTATTCGTGCATGAAAGTCGGTCGAGACAAGGGCTCAGAAATAGTGATGAGGAAATCCTGAGCCTGCTCCGCCAGTGGATTAAAACTCTCTAAAATGATGCGGCCTTTCTGAGGGTCTATCCAGAGAGGTCGATTCTGATGATCTTTCTTCAAGACCAGGTATGAGAAATCACGGTCGCCAAAGATGTGTGGTAGGGGGTCCCGGATCGCATGTCTCTTCTGATAGCGATCCAAAGAAAAGATGTCTATATTCTTGTTCAAATCACGTTCCAAGGCCTCGTCGACGGGGCCCTCCTCCTCATCGGGCATGTCCTCATTGCTATCGATCGTTCGTGGCGTTGCAGCTCCAGGTGTTGACATGCGCGAAGACCTTCCCACTTTTCCCCCACCCTGTACAGCAGCACCTGCTTTCCTCTTGGGCGGCATCGTTTCTAAGTTTCCGGGCCGGACAATCAGGGCGCGGTTGGCGGTGGTCGTATGAAAGCTGATGAAGGAAAGGAGAACGAGAAGGTCGTATGCGATGTGAACAAGTGCTGCTAAGGGCGTCACTGAATGACGATGACTAACCAATGTACTTAAGTGGGTCCATGTTATCGAAGTGCCTGCTCGAGTAAGCAATGGAAAGTACGGAGTAGGTAGGTAGGTACTAGGTAGGTAGGCGCAGGGCCCGTAAAGTGCATCCCGAAAGCCTGATTACTATACCCCACCAAAACTCTACCGACATTGATCTGAACTCAACCTGCAACTATTCTCAGACACCATAATTCAGCTGTGAACACTTCTTCCAACGACGCAGACTATATTGCAAAACTTAAGGGGACTACTTATAACTTGCTACCATGTGGTATGGTATGCCTCGTTTCTATTCATTATCCTGCCACTAATCAATGTCCAGCAAACACATTCTCAACGCCCAGGTTTCCGTTCGATCGCCCTGTTGTACGTGCAAAGTTTATTGAAGCCAGTCTTCGCGATTTTAAGTTGTTGCCCGCTCACCTTACCAACTAATTTTAACTACAGGCCGAAAATGGTTCGACTGTGTCGAATGCCACAGCGAACAGGAGTCACACCCTCTTAAGGAAAGCTTCGAGATGATTTTCGCGTGCAAGAAGTGCAGAAAGTGCTTCAGAAAGGATGTGAAGGAGTTCGAAGAGGCCGACGAGTTTTGCCCTCATTGCGACAACCATTTTGTTATCGACGCAAAGACCCCTCAAGCAGCTCTTTCGATTGAGAGCGACGACGTACGAATGGATAACAAGATGCTCAAGGACGACAGACAAAAGACAAAGGGACTTAGGTCCATCTTTGACCCGACAGAGGAAGCCGACAAGCTGGGATAATCCAGAACATGATCAGATAAAAAGAGGAAAGCCATGGCGTTTAGGATACATAGCGATTTGTCACTTCCACGGGATGCGTTCTGAGAGAACTTGGGTGTGCATCATTAGTTATGTTAATACAATGGCACTGAGTCCCGACTTTAGAGACTCGTGCTCTTGTCTATGTAAGCTCTTCCCATACGCCTCTCTATTCCGCAGCGGAGTCATCCTGAGATCGGGTCAGGATGGCAGCACTGCCGGTTCCAGGGGTCCGTCCCGTCTTCTTCTTGGCAGCTTCTTCCTGCTTCTCCTGCTCGATTTCCTTGACATAGCCTTCAATCTCGGACGTAGGTAGTGTTTCGATGGTGGCGCCAGGTGCCATGAGAGAAATCTCGATGTTCTTGGCTCCGGTCTGAACAACCTCGAGCAGCGACTTGATAGCAAGCCGGATGGTAGCCTCTCGGTCCATCTCCTCCTTGTAGTTTCGCTCGAGGAACTCACGAACAGTCTTGCTTGAACGGCCGATAGCGTTTGCCTTCCTGTTAGATCGTTAGTTTTGAAACTTGGCCGAATGTTTTTTTTTTATCATTTTGAATAACGCACCAGGCAGAGTAGATGCCGGAGGGCTCAGTCTGGTACAGTCGAGGGACATCGCTGCCGTTATCGAACCCAACAATCAGAGTGCTAATGCCAAATGGTCGGACGCCACCAGCCTGTGTGTACCGTTGCTGGACGCCAGCGACATATTTGGTAATGTAGTCGATAGTAACAGGGTCTTCAACTGACAAACGATGGGACTGTGCCTCTAATCGAGCCTTGTCGACGAGGATGCGAGCATCCGCATTTAGGCCAGCGAAGGCGAGGGCGACGTGGTGATCGAGGAGCTGGATTTTGGAAGGGGTGATGCGAGTATCTTGCAGCTTCATGGCGGAGCGCTTCTCGCATCCTAGCACCACAACATCGGCACCCTTGACACCGACAGCACAAGTTCCTATTGAAGGTATAAGCCACCGGAACAAAGCTGTTGACCAAGAACCTGATACTTACCTCGCTTGACAGCTTCACCGGCATATTCGACCTGGAAAACGTGGCCGTCGGGACTATTCGATGTTAGGAAGCTTGTCGCGAGTGTTGTTATGGTACTGACCTGAATACTGCACTTATTGTTAGCGATGGATATATCATTGAACACGGGCCCGTTGTGTGGACTCACCCGACAGAGCTCTGTCGTAGCCGGATGCCATGGTGTCGAGTTAAAGAAGAGTTGTTGCGAAATCGCTATGTTTGGGAGTATACAGTGTGCTTTTTTGGTGTATAAGGCGAATCGTGGAGTCGTTGCGAGGCTCAAGGAGTGTTGACGTTGATGTATTGGGTGCTCGGCTTCGTCAGAACTGTAGCCTGCCTGGTACCTACCTGCCCACGGAAGGCTGAGAGCTGTAGCTCCCAGTTAGCACCGGGCCGGAAAAACACCGTTGCGTGTTCCGCATAATGTGCACGGACCTCCCATTTCTGTCCTACGGGCTCTCTTCTACATGTTTATATCGACTTCATATCCGCACAAGCAATCAACTGCCCCTGGAGATAATGGTTCATATTATGGTTTTATGTACTCCGCTTAACTAGTGCTTGCATACTGAAATCCACGTCTATAGCCTCATTGATTCAGCTTTTGCGGTCTTGCAGTCTATACATGTCTCTCAGATCCCTACGTCAACTATGTGCGAAGCTGACTGTTGACAAATGAAAACAATGGACTTGTCATTTCTCATGATGCAAGGACAATCGCAGAAGGGTACAAGGTAAGCCTAATGTTTCTGAATAAAAACCATGTCAATTATCCCCGAGGTTAGAAAGTCGCCACTTCGGACCATGTTTGACTCTGCAAAACACCGGCAACATGTTGGCCTTTCTCAATGAGCCGCGATCGAAAGTTGTCGATCCACATGATCTCCATGAGTCCATCCTGCGAAACTGAATTGATATCTCTGTACAAATCCATCGCCACGGTCATCGGCATAATCAGCATGTCAGGTTGAACAGTGTCATGCAAGACTGAATCGAGTCCACGGCAGATATCTGCCGCAAACATGCGCCCATGCTGATATCGATTGAGGTCGATCTGCAAGTCGAATGGCAAGTCAGGCCACATATTTGGGTAAGCGTCGATGACTGGCTGGTAGATGGCTCGGTGCAAGCTTTCAATGCATTGGTGAAAGAGGATTTGTGTCATCCAGTAATATAGGAAGGCAAGTCCGGTGTTTGCGTCCCTGAAAGCGTACGAATTTGTGAAAGGAATAAGGCCTCCGGGGCTGATAAGCTCCTCAGTCCAGTAGGCCACGGGCTGTTCAAAACTGGGACGGTTAGCCATCTGAAACCAAGCATCAAGATGTCTCTCGAGGGAAAGGCAATCCCGGAGAAGCTGCTGGGCGCTGTGCCGTCGATGGAGGGTTGGCTCTGCCGGAACAATCTGATCAACTTGAGAAAGGATGGCTGGCAGCAGAAGAACAAGGTCGAGGAGATGGTCGAGGAGAGACTTCGGATGTCTCTGCCAAGGAACAGTCTTCCAATCTGGGGATGATACAAACGTATCTTGTCGCCTCAGGAGAGCGAAGCCGGTCTATCTTACACTCAGCAGAACGAAATAACATGGATCGTTGAACGCTACTTACAGCTAGAGGTCGATACACCCGCACAAAGAAATGATGATTGGGAAAGAGACTAAAATAGGCCGGCCCCATTCGTCTCATCCGTTGAGACCCTGATTCGCCAAATGCATATGCTGTTTCGTGCTAGCTAATTGTCAGTAGTCATTTGGAATCAGTAGGGACATTGCACAAACCTCGAAGAAGAAGATGCAGTAACTTTGTGCCGAGTCATCTTGCTCATACACGCTCGGTAAGCGTGCTAAGCATTGTGCTCTTACACCAAATTCTCCTTCACCCAGTAATGACTGAAAGTCCGCCGGCGTATATGGCGGGAAGGTGATGCGGAAAGGTGTGGAGTCATCAGCTGAATGATCTGGAAGAGTGCATGGAAGCCTAGTGTGCAAGGCTGAGACGAGAACCGAATACTCCACTCCTTGGTTTGAAACAAGTGTGTGGTCGTCCCAGGCTGAGGTGAGAGGATGGACTGGCGTGATACCGAGAGTTCTGGGAGGTTCCTCGTACAGAGGCGAGCTCCCCTTCTTGGAAGATGAGCCTTTCTTCGGATGGGAGGCTACTCTGCCTTTGTTCTGCGGCGTCCCGGTGATGAAGACTCGTTCTCGTTCATAGCCTTCACATTGCCTTCCACTCGATATACATTTCTGGCAGTAAGGCCTCTCGTTGCTGCACTGTTCGAGAATGTAAACTTGGATAGCAGAGTTGCGATGAGATGATGGAGACCTACCTTGACTCTTCTACGCCGGCAAGTTTCGCAGCCTTTGTATTTCCCAGGGACGCCAACCATGTTTATCTTGGTGAGGAGGTTGAGTTGCAGGATGCCATCTTGACAACTTATGTTCGGGGCAGCTTCTATTATAACGAAGGAACTATGTGATGGCCAGGATTTCGGCTACCCCGTCTGCGATGCTGCACCTAGACTGTCTTCGGCCTCTGTTGCAATGAGGCATCCTGTCAACTGTCTATCACCCCACACATTGCGGAAGTCCATCTTGCACGCAGTCATTAGAGCCACCTTGACGGGGAAGTGTAAAGATGGCTCCTTTCATGGTAATAACCAGGTGAGGTTTCATCGCGGTAATGAGGGCCACCATGTACGACGAATAAGGAGTGTTAAGGGCTCTGGTTCGACCTGACCTAGTTGGCGACGGCCGCTCACAACACAACATCCACCGGGTGTAAAGCTCTCAAGGGCCATGGCTCGGCACATGCTAGGTATGACGAAACAATCCAATTGGAGTCGATTGGGGCCGACGACGTCAAAGGTCAGGGACCCACGACGGGGACTTTGGACTGAGATAGGAATATGCGAACGAGCAAGTCTTCACTTACAGGGAACTTTTGGCCTAGCGCATCGGCTCCCTGTGGAGAAGCTGTAGCGTCCGCCCCATAAGGCTGACAGGGAGGTGTGTGAGGAAGGGCGGCATTGGCTCCTCGTTGGCTATCAAGTTTAAGAGCTGAAGCTGGCTATTTGACAAACAACACGGAGTGGAGGGTAGCTCCGTTACTCCTGTTTGACAGATTCCAAATGACGAGGACGTGAGCATGGGCTGGAGCATGGGCACAGGCACAGGCAGGGGGCCTTTGACATGCAATGAGACACAACCAACTCATTACGAAGTGTCAACATTAACCGGTCGAGTCATGTTTCTGACCTCAAGTCGTATTGACTTGCGCCTTGCGAATACTTAGGCATTAATTTACCTGACAATGTGTTGTTGGCTGAAGATAAGCAGTGACCTGCACGTTTCGCAAGGTGATGGAGATGGTTCCGCCCTGTGGATTGATTGACTACCACCAACGCTATTTAAATCGGCTAACGACTCTTCTATCCAAGCATGTCTGTGCATGTATGCAGACGTACTTGGGTGTTTGAGGGTCATGGCTGTTTTTTAATGGCTATACACAAAACAGCCATAACCGCAATGTGCACAGTACTTTTGCTTAGATTTACAACGCTTTAGGCCTCCTTATTCCAGTTTTTTTGGCTCACTCGCGCTCGCTTAGGTCAGCGGGGCTATCGAGGTCGTTTGGCCAGCCACAGCTGGAATTACTGAGCAGTACGAATGACGCTGCAGCATACCCCAATGAAGGGAAAGGGTGGGGGGGGGTCACATATGCTGTCACTCGGGTACGAGCCCAAGAGACCGGGGTATCAAATATACTTGTAGGGGTTCATGATGCCATTCTGGGTGAGGTGTCAGCCCTAATGCCGGGGAATTGTAACAGAGAGTTGAGGTGAAAATAGAGTTCCACGACGCAGCGCTCGATGGATGGGGCAAGGGGAGCAAACTCACGGGATCAAAGAGATTCTTGATCTGCTTCATCAGACCAATCGTTGTGTCGTCTCGGCTGTAACCG